ACTATCTGGAGTTGAACCGTTTGACCATCAAGAAGAGGTATCCTCTCCCTAGAATTGAGGATTTGTTTGATCAATTAAAAGGGGATAAGTCATTTTCTAAGATCGATTTACGATCTGGATATCATCAATTGAAGGTTAAGGCAGATGATATACCAAGACAGCTTTCGAAACTCATTATGGACATTACGAGTTCACAGTTATGCCATTCGGATTGACAAATGCTCCAACAATGTTCATAAATCTGACGAATCGAGTATTTCATCAGTATTTGGATCAGTTTGTTATAGTCTTTATTGATGACATTTTGATATACTCCAAGAGTAAAGATCAACATGAGGAACATCTCAGAATAGTGTTAGAGATACTACGCAAGGAAAAGTTATACGCCAATTTCAAAAAGTATGAATTTTGGCTCGAACGAGTTGGATTTCTCGATCATGTAGTTACTGCCCAAGAAATTGAAGTGGACCCAGTAAAGGTGGAAGCAGTAACTAACTGGAAGACACTGACTAATGCTGGTGAAGTTCGAAGTTTCGTAGGATTAGCTGGGTACTATCGAAGATTTATAGAGGGATTCTCCAAAATAGCTGGACCAACGACACAATTGATAAGGAAAGGAGTAAAGTTTCAATGGACAGATAAGTGTGAGCAAAGCTTTCAGGAGCTTAAACAACGATTGATCACAAAACTTATATTAACCATACCTGAAGATTCAGAAGGGTTTGTTATATATAGTGATGCATCCAAGCAAGGTTTGGGATGTGTACTAATGTAGCATGGAAAAGTAATTGCCTATGCTTCATGATAATTGAAGCAACATGAGCAGAACTACCCAACGCATGACCTAGAACTTGTGGTAGTGGTTCATGCATTAAAGATATGGTGCCATTACTTATATGGAGGGAAGTGTGATATTTAAACGGATCATAAGAGTCTCAAATATTTCTTCACATAGAAGGAATAAAATATGAGACAGAGACAATGGTTGGAGCCAGTGAAAGATTATGATTGCACTATTCATTATCATCCGGGTAAGGCTAATGTTGCTGCTGATGCTCTAAGCAGAAAGTCGATGGGACAGTTGGCATCATTACCTACTATTTCGATAGAGTTGATCAAAGACTTGGAAA